CTTTAGAATATTAGAATAGTTAATATCAAAATTGCATTCATTGTATATTGGTTGTGTATATCTATAAAAAACTGGTTATTCATTTATAAATTGTATTTTAGAAATTAAACTATAATTATTATTATTATTATAATTTAACTATAATTTATAAATTATATTTTAATGTAATGGTTTTACAATGATGTTTATTTCTTTTTTATTCTGTAAACACTTTTTCTCTCTCTAAATTTGCTCAAAAGTATCAAGTGTAGCATCTTTTCTTAAAGGTGATGTTCTTGAGCTGGTACTTTAAAGATGTAATTTTTCGATTTTTGAAATGGTACTCGAAATAAAAGCGGTTAAAGGAGAAAAACATACGATTTCACAATTTTATAATATTAAATAATTACGGACGACGTTTTCTACTAGAAATATTGCTTCAAATGAAAAATGACACGAAGTCTTTTTTGTTGTATTTTGGATTTCGTTCCTTACGGTTTACAGTTCGGAACATTTTAGCGAGTTTTGAGCTATTTATAGACATTTTAATTTTGGAAGTTTTTTGTTGTAATTCGGTTAAAAACATTCGTAAAACTTGAAATTTGGGTTGTTTACTTATACATATTATTCTTACCTAGACATAGTAAAATTTTCAAAACATTTGAGCGACTTTTGAGCTTTTTCTTTTATTTTACATATTTTTTTCATTTTTATGATATTTCTTAATTATAATTATATAAATTACCTATTTATATAAATCGTTCTTAAGCTGTTCTTAAAACGGTTTGTTTATCAGCATAGAAACGAATAAAATTAAATTAAAAAGATTCCCTCGTCTGTTCAGAATCATTTTTTATCGAATGCAATCATTGCATTCAAATCGAATACAGTAAAATTACACTATCCTGTCCGAGTTATTTCACATGTTATTATACAGAATAATACGTTAAAAAAAAATTATATACCAAGAAAAATTAAAAAAAAAAAAAAATGTGTTATGAAGTAATATAATATTATGACATTTAGTTTTTTTTGTTTAGTTTATTTAATTAGATTTTAGATTTTATTCATATTTTAGGAATAAAATATTAATAACTGGCGGTTTGCTTTTTGATACTTATGTATTAAATACATTAAATTAAAATATTAAATATTTATTAAATATTATTTATTTTTAAATCTGTTCATAAAATTGTTTAGAAATGCCTAAGTATTGTTAATCACTAAATTTATAAGTTTGAACTAGGTATAACTGAAATGTACGTCATTTCCTGTAAGATACGAAATCGTTAATTCAAAATATATAAACGATAATTATCACGTCTACCGTTGTTAGTTTTAAAATATAATTATTCAAAAATTATATTTGTACATTTAAGAGCATTTTTTATAAAAGTAAATTAATACATGCATGGGGAATATTACAAGTACATGCAACTTATGTAAAGTCGTAGATTCACGCCACTCCTTTTTTTTCAATAGAGATCCTTCGCACGTGCCTAATAAATGATAATAATAAAATACACGAAATATATTAATGAGTTGTATATTACTTTAACAGTTTACATTATTTTTGCGTGCCGAAACCAATTGGTATGTTAAGTGTACAATGTACACGAATTTTAAATATTCTCGTGGCATTTTTCATTAAAACCACGTACGAGTAATAATATACTTCATGGCGCGGGTAACTAAATAATAATCGAATAATTTGTCGCTATCGACAAAGAAAAAAATTAATATTATGTACAATATATGTATACACTATATTGTCTATTTTTTTTCGCGCCTTGCATTCACAATATCATACCTACGACCGCGGTACATGCTGCATCGTGGCAGGCGAGAAATGTTTTCATGCGTACAGCAGTCAGTAGACATTAGTTTTATTTTTACCCAACCGCTCCCAAAATAAACGAGTTCACTCACTACTTATAGTCTATGGATTTTAACTCTCTACAAACAAGTATTAATTCTTTACTTGTATTTTCGAACAATAACCCAAGTAACGAGGTACATACTTATTTGCATCATTTACTACTGCTACATTAGGGAGGGTATAATCGTAGAGCAATAAAAATTATTTTAATTCTATGGATATAATAGTGATAGGTATACCTCTAATAGTGCCTGAAACCGGTTGTATTATTCATACTGAATTGTTGAGTATAAAAATATAATCGAGGATTTCGGGGGGGGGGGGGGGGAGGAGGAGGAAATTAAATGATGTTTTTTCTCTAACGAAATATGTACAACGTTGTTGACCAGTTGCTGAACGAGCGAGAAGTGAGAATCGCCCTCGATCAGACGCGTCTACGTATACGCACAATGGCAGTGTTGAATCAAGAACGACATTGATGTCGAATCATTTCCCAAGCAGTGACACGGCAATGGCGATGTGTAACATCGGGGCCCAATCATGAGCGTGAGCTCGGAGGGTATTTTTAACGTGAAACAATTGAGTGGCACGTTTAATGAAAAGTGAGTAGTGAGTAGTTTTGAAAAACAATACATAATAATTTACTACGAATACTCGAATAATTATAGGTCCCCAGATTCACCCAACAAGCCTCACGATCCTGATCGTGTCACTGTTCCCTAGACTTCCCTAGAATTTTTCTATTTTCTGTAGAACCGACAGAACTGTAGATGTACCGTGAGTGTACGGTTGACGAACACTATGAAGTGAATTTTGTTCGATAAGATTTCGAGCAAGCATTGGGACAATAGTGCAACGCGTGCGATGACAAAGTAAAAACTGCGCGTAGGTTCTCGAATAAGGCAATACATATGTGTTTTTTTTATTTTCATGTTTGCCAAATGGACTTTGTTCTAAAGAAATCCTCCTATCACCCTAATCAAAAATAAGTATTTGCGCGCGATGCAATCTCGATTTACCATGAGTTTCTCCTCGACCGCCGTCGACTCTTCCCGCGGGAATTCCGGCATGGAAGACATGTTGTACACCGCGTTCGAGTCCTGCATGGACGGCGACATGGTGTTTCGCGGCTCGTGCACGTGCACGCAACCGACCGAGAACCCGTTCAACCGTTCGCCGTACTCATTGCGAACAACGGCTGCGGCGGCGGTGGCGACGACGGCGGGTCACGTGTTGACTTCGGCGGTGACGGTGTCCGAACTGCCCCCACGGTGTCACGCGAAAACTCGACCACAGCGGTTTTCACGCACCACTTCGCGGTAGCCACTAGCAACTGCGCAACGTACACACGGTGTGTCTAGAAACTACACGAAACCCTTTAGACCCTTTGAACTTGCAGTCGCCGGGATTATACGTGGGCGCACTTTTGCACGCACTCACTACGCCCGTGCACAGAGTGCTCGCTTGTAAACAATGGTAATCGATAGCACAACGTGTATGACAACAATATTGTATTCGACAATTAGCGATGATCGAATAACATTGACCAAGTGTTACGTGCACCTTTTCGTTCCAAACAGTGCCGCGTTAAGTTATGTAGCCGCCTCGAGGTAAATTAAAATATGCCACCCTTAAGAAAATTACAATTCAAAATAAAAAATAATATACGTAATAGAAATAATATGTATTATAGTTATACAGTCATACAAGAAAAATTATAATCATATATTTTTTATTTTATGTTGATCCTCATAAAAAATTTGCCATCCCGTTAAACATAATAAAATTTGCCACCCCGAAGCAATTTCCCCCCCCCCTTGCCACCCGTTAAACACGGCTCTAGATCCAATTAGCTACAGACATTTAACAGTTTAAGGCTGCTAAAAATCGTATACAGGCCAATACGATACAATTAACACTGTATCATAATCATAGGCGCAATTTCAGTTTTTAACTTAGAGGGGCTTAACATATTTAAATCAAACAAACCCGTGGGGGGCTCTGCCTTCCACCCCCACCCCCCCATAATTCACTACCGATATAGTGATATCATATTTTTCTCACCCACTTTCCTACATTTAATATATTATAATGCATTTATTAATAAAACTAAAAATATTTGTATGAAAAAAAGAACAAAATTTAGGTAAATAAATGTAATATATTATATTTTTTTTATTAAGTATATTATTATAATTGGAACCTTCGGTTAGAAATTGAATATTTATTTGATATTTTTTCATTAGGCAATTCATTCGATAAATCTCGTTCTATATAAATTAATGAAAAATCTGTAAACTGTAAATCTATCTTGATTCATAGATGTTCGAAGCCAATTTTTAATCTTTTTCATTGCTGAAAATAATCTTTCACATGTTGTTGAGCTAATTGGAATTGTGAAAGATAATGATAAGAGTTTATATAAATTAGGATAAAGCTCTGCATCCATGATTGATTTGATATCTTCCAAAGTGAAACTGGGGTTTCTACGGGTCACACAGTTTTTTACCACAAGTATTTCTAATTGAAGTGTATTTACATCTACATTTAATAGGTCCTAAAAATTAAATTATAAAAATTGATTGATCTCGTTAGCTGTATTATATAGATTAGATAACTAATGAAGGATTTAATACTTTAATTTAATTATAAATTTTTGGAGGGGCTAATTTTAATATTGGAGGGGGCTAAGCCCCTCCAAGCCCCCCCTCAAATTGCGCCTATGATCATAATACACACGGCGTTTTACGCATAACCGGTGCTCAGTAAGTTTGGTTACGTGAAATCAGTGAAATCAGTGTTTTCCTTTCTCCGTGTATCCGCTTCTGGGTGCATAATAATAGTCTAACCGTCGTTCCAAAATCAAAATTAAGGTATACAAAGCCATAAAAACCAAAAATTTTAAGTATTAGTCGGTACCGTACATACATATGCTATTTCGCTAATCCGTCAAAATAAAAATTAATCACGTTTAATAGTTTTTTCGTTTTTTTAAACCATAGTATAACACACATTAATCTCCATCTATGCCCAATCAGCACCATAATGGTCATAGCATATAAAATGAATACTTGTCTTATTCAAACAAAATATTCATATCATATTTTTGGATGTTCTATCAATCTTCTAAAAACTGATAATATAATCCAAAAATTGTCAAATGTGCCACTTTTAATATTCTGTAATAACATATGTATACGCCGACTTAAATCACGCAAAACTTCGTGAGAAACTGCTATATAACTAAAAAATGTTAAGTATGACGCAGTGCAATGATGGTTGGATGAATGGGAAAAGTCAGAATTGTGTAACTCTTTCCTTATTAAGAACTCGACGAAAAAACTACTTGGCTTCAACCTACCACGGATAATTTGGACAACTGAATACGTACAGGTCATGGAAGAATGGGATATCTTATGCACAAATGGGGCATCAATTTTAATCTAGGATATGACTGCGGTAATCTCAATTAAAACATAGACCATATCATACAAATGTGCCCTAAGAAAAAGTTTGGAAGAAACTTTGAGGACATTTTTAACGCGACCCCTGAAGCTATCGAATGGGTGAAAAGTCTGGACATTCTGTTATAACGTTTATACTAAAACTAATGTTATATTTTTACACTTTTATACTGTCGATAAATACATTGCGTCTCACCACTTGTCAATATTATATTGTTTTGTTATCTGCTTATTACTATACATAAATTATATAAAGATCTATACTGTTACATTGTATATGCCATACAAATAAATAAAAATAAAATTATTGCTCTTACTTACAATTTGATCGTAAGCATTGCTGTCGTCAGTTATGGATTCTTTTAAAATATTTAATTCATCATTAATTGATATTGGGAACATTTCATCTATTTTTTAAAATTGTTGATTAAAACCCATTGATGGTGGAACCATCAGATTTCTTTGGGTTTTCTTATATTTTATTAACTATCATCATTATGGTATGTAAGTATTCTCCTTGTTGCTTTTGCCTAGTGTTTAACGTTACTAGTTGCTTGATAATTTGTTTTTGAATTTCTATACAAATTAAACCAATAATATAATAAAATAAAAATAAATAATATACTTAAATTTGAAACACATCTAACTCCTGATCCATTATAAGTATATACTCGTATAATAAAATAAACAGAAACTTAAGTTTTTTTTTTTTTTTTAGTTAAAAAAAATTAGACTATAGGTATTTATAGTAAATTAATTAATGGGAATAAGAAATTAATAAAAGTATCTTATTTAATTGATTGTTTTGATAAATAAGAACTTTTCTTCTTGAAAATATTGAAAATATCAACCTTATATAAATAGTCGTAAATACATATAGTACTGTTAAATTATATAATTATAATGAACCATAACAACAATTTAAATAAAGCTTACTATTTTGATCTTCAGCGTCAGAGTTTTTGGTATATACACCTAAAAGGTAAATTTGTAAAATTGTATTACAGAACTACAATATTTAAAATAAATGTATATTATAAATTTACAAACTATAGTTATTTGAATTTTCTAAATTACCATTATCTTTGGAAATGGTGTTATTATTATTCACCAATGATACATTAATTAATGAATTATCATCAATGAATAACTCATTATTAACAAAATCATCAATAATCATCTGATTATTACCTATAAAAACAAATAGTTAAAGAATAGTTAACAAATATTTAGTGCAAATAAAACAACATATTTATCAATTTGATATGTTGGAGATATATCATACGGTTTATCCAGCATAGCATTCTGTACTATAATAAAATAATTTCCATCTGAATGAGTTATATTTTTTTCAACTGGAATCACGTTCAAACAGTAATTAATTTCTAAAATTAGTTATTAACTATAGTATTAACTATAGGTACATTTAATTATTATACATAATGTAATTATTTATTGATGTAGTGAAAATTTATTTTATAATTTGGCATTTTAAAATAGTTAACTCACTTGAACATTTAGGAAAATGAATTAATTTTTCATTAGGTACTCAACTAAATTATTACCAAACAAAACATAATAATATTTAAAATATAAGTGGGTAGGTATTAAAACCCAAAATAAAAATTGACGTAGTTATAAATAAGAAAATTAGGTACAATTAAAAAAAGGTCTATGGAATTAATCATTAAATTAAACCTTAGTTATGCATTTTTATACTAAAACTAAACTAAAATTCAGGATGATCTTTAACAACTAACCTTGATATCGAGTTGATATCGACTATTGACAATATTTATATTACGTAACAATTTATCAGGTAAATAGATATTCAAAAAAATTATAATTTGCTTTAAAGTTATAACAAAAAAAAAAAAAAAAAACCGTTGGTCACTATAATATATAGTATTATTTTATGGAAAAACACTCTGCTGTGTAAAATGAGCGGATTAATGATCGTAGATGTCGTCGTGCAGCCAGGAAATGTGGTACATAAGCGATTAGCGAATCACAATAGAACAATAATAAATAGTGCAGAAATTGTAAACAAATGTTTTGGGAAACATAAGAAGTAATTTTATATATTCATAATTTTAAATAAAAATTTTCTTAGTGCGCATATGAATGTATAATGTGTGTAACTGTGAACCAAAATATAAAAAGTATTATCCTTTGTCCATCGTAATATCGTCCCAGAATAATATTCTTTGGTATCGTACTGACAAAACTATAGGTAAATACCATTATCACAATAAGGATGTTCATTAAATCAACTTTAATAAATTGATCAGGAACATATAATAAAATTAATATTCTTTTATTATTTGTAATATTGGGCTTATAGATTATTTTCCAGTGGATATTCATTATGAATTATTCAGTAATCACTCTAAGAATACTTATACATTATGATAAATTGATCAGGAATATACTATAATAAAATTAATATTCTTTTATTATCTGTAAAACAATATATATATAGATTATTCTCTAATTAATATCCTTTTATGAATATTACTGGACTTGGAATAAAATATTCATAGTTGTGATAATCTTAAAAAAACGATCTATTACTTATCTCATTCGTATTGTTTCGTATTATGAATAGTATAGTTAAAAGGAAGATTGATAGAATATACCATGAATATCTTGTGCTAATTTGGTGGTTATAAATGAAAAACGTGATACATCATAATTTTGTAAACTTTTAAATTTAAAAAAAAAGTATGTGCTTACCAAATCCATTTTATTTCACATTTTTCGACAACATTAATGAAACTTAAAGAGTAAAAAATTATTCTTTCAAACCTAATATTATATTATAGTATAGAATTATAAATCAAATAAAAAAAATAATCAAATGAAATATTATTTAATCTTAAACAATGTTGTCGTATTGTAATCGCGTAGAAATAGGCACGATAATATGTATGTAAATATGCATGACATGACTTCAATTTATGAAATTCACAGCAACTTAGTACCAAAGAATCATAAATAATTTAGTGTTATTTTTATATTTAAAATTTATAACACGTCTTTTTTTAAATTTTTATGGTAGCTAATGGTGCATGGCGATGTGAGTAATCGAGAGGCGGCCGCCTCTAAGTTTTTTGGTGGATTTTTGGTGAGTTCGACAAAATATACTTGCCTCTAAAAATTTTTGAGTTCATCACACCACTGAATGAA